AGATGGCATACACATGGGCTCTTTTTAAGGCATAAAGCATGAACCCTTCAAAGCATTGAAGGAGTGAAAGATGTGAGTGCATGGCAATGAAACATGATCTGAAATCACATAACAAATGATGCCAAATTATGCAAATGGTCCAAGTAATGCATGCTAGATGCTTGGAAACTCAAAGCTAGTAACCTAGAATGCACTATGGCTATACAAAGCATGGCATGCATGACCAAAACAACATAAATCAGACCTTAAGCATGCTAAAACATGGCCAAAAGCTTCTTGGAGTTAAGCCGAAATCACACTAGAATGATGGTCTAAAGCATGATGCATATTGTGCTAGTGTGCAAGTTTACACTACAAGTGTATAAAGCATGCAAGAGGCAACCAAACCAGCCTAAAATAGAGTTATGGAAGGTCCCAAAAGTCACAAAAATAGCCTAAACAAAGCCACAAAGAGGTAAAAACACATGCTCATTTGGTTGGCCATCAACACATGTAAACAAGAGAAGAGGAGGGGGGACAACCCCCACCCATTTGGGACCTCAAAACCCCTTTTTCACCACTAAAATTCCTCTGGAATTCAGTGGTTTAAAGGCCAAAAAAAGTTGGTTTGAAAGATGGCTCAAAAGGCCTCATAAGCCAAGGAGCAAAAAGGAGAGACAACCCCCTAGCCAAAGAAGGCTTAAACCATCGTTTAGAACCTCAAAAATCAGAGTTTTTTATGATTTAAAACCAGCCCCAAAATAGTCCAAAACAATGGAAAAAGGATGGTGAAGCAAGTGTGAAAGACAAGCTTAAAGGGTGAAAGTTTTACCTCTTAGAGGGAAGCACACTTTGAGGCACAAAACCAAGTCAAAACCTCCTTAATGAGCTCCAAGAAGAGCTTCTAGCAACCTCAGCCCAATGATCAAAAACTCTTGTTAAGGGTTGATAGGTTGAAGAGGGATGTATGCAAGCTTCTATCACAAAACTCTTAGAGAGAGAGGAATCTAGAGAGTGGATTAAGAGAGAGAGAGGCTCCCAAAGCTTTTTGCCAAAATTGTTCTAACCTATCCTCCAATGTTCTAACCCTTGAAAATGAGATACAAGGCTTCATTATATAGCAAAATATCACCTTTGGTCGAAATATCTGAGCTAGGACAGGTGGCACAAGCTAGAAACAGTTGGGGGAGAAATATCTGCCAATTATGGGCTTTCTGGACATTTTTGGCTGATCGGCCAACATTTGTGGCCGATAAGGTTCACTTTTGGCCGACCTATGGCCGATGAACTCCAATTGTGGCCGATGCACTTCCATAGAGGCCGATGGAAAAAATCAGTCTTGGTCCCTGACTTGAAGCAAGCCTAATTCCTTCATCTAGACTCCTTTTCAGGTCATTCTTGAGCCTAAACTGAAGCCCCGGAAGTCTTCTTTCCAAATATGGCAGACTCACATCAAAATTCCATGTGTGCCAAGAGATATCCCTCTTTTAGTGAAGACTGCTCAGTTTCGGTCCAGCCGGATTGATGTCCAACTTCAACCAATCATATCTCCTTCATCCGGATTCGACTTTAGGAGATTCTTAAGTGAAAAATGAAGCCTCAAAAGTAAGATTTCCAATGATGATAGCCTCATAGCTGAAATCCAAGTATTTAAAAGGGTAGGCCTAATTTAGCGAGGACTGCTCGTCTCTCTCTTAATGGTTCATGCCCATCTTCTTCCTCAGCCAGGTTTCTTCCCTCTTCTTCTCTTTTCTTTAACTCCAAACCCCTAAGCAAGGTGTTTCGAAATATTTTTCAAAGATTTCAACTTTCTTTCATTCATTTCCACTTTGTCCCTGCTCGGTTTACCGAAAAGCGCAACATTTGACAATATGCAAGCCTCGGAACATCGTAGAAACTTATTTTCAACAATATTTTGAAAGAGAGGGTTTAAGGTCTAAAAACCATTCAAAATAGCTTTGGTCCAAAATGGGGTGTGAGGTTAGGATTCGACTCTCCTCTTGCCGAAGAAATCGAACCTTTGTCCTGCACATCTTTCATCACCAAGTAGACCATCAGTAGAGCCCAAGTCTTAAGGGCAGTCAAAAATGAGGTGTCTACAATCACCAGCAGCATATACGATACTTCCAAGAGTGATACAACACCCACAATATTCCACATTCTCAAAACATATACAATGCTTATATTGAATCCATGTTCTTCCTAAACAATTATAACATATACAATGTCCTTGCAAGTTGAAACATATACAATGCTCATACTTTTCATTAACAAAATTTAATTCTCAATACATGCCTATGCATCAACAAACAAATTCGGATATTTTTCTCAGACTTCTAATTCACGTCCCCAAGTCGCTTCCTCGACTCTGTGATGTTTCCACGATACTTTTACCAATGGAATTGTCTTGCTTCGCAAAACTTGATCTCGTCTATCCAAGACTCTTACCGGTCTCTCGTCATACGAGGCATCCTCATCTACCTTTAAGTCGGTCCAATCCAACATGTGCGATGGATCCGGCTCATATTTTCAAAGCATACAAATAATATTTCCGAAGCATACAAATATGAAACACGTCATGAACCCCAGAAATTTGTGGCGATAACGCCAAACAATAAGCAAACTCCCCAATCTGTTCAAGGATCTCAAAAGGTCCAATAAACCAAGGGGACAACTTCCCACTTTTCCCAAACCTCATCAAACCCCGTCTAGGTGATATCTTCAAAAAGACATGATCTCCTACCTCAAAAGACAAAGGTTTTCTCCTACGGTCGGCATAACTTTTCTGGCGACTCTGAGCTGTAACTAACCTCTTACGGATAAGTGCAACTTTCTCTGTCGTTTCCCGAGCCAACTCTGGACCTAACAAAGGTGCATCACCCACCTTAGCCCAACATACTGGAGATCTACACGGTCAACCATACAAGGCCTCAAACGGTGCCATGCCAATACTTACTTGGAAACTATTATTATAGGCAAATTCCACTAAGGGTAGGTGTCTCTCCCACGACCCCTTAAAATCAAGGACACAGCCTCTTAGCATATCCTCAAGGATCTAAATTGTATGTTCGGACTGCCCGTCAGTCTAAAGGTGATATGCAGTACTAAAAGTCAATCTAGTGTCGAAGGCACTCTGCAAACTCTGCCACAACCGAGCAGTGAAACGCAGATCTCTATCCGAAACAATCGTCATAGGGACCCTGTGCAACCTCACTTTGTCCTTAATATACAGGTCGGCAAGATAATCTACCGAGTCACTTACACGCATGGGAATAAAATGCGCCGACATAGTCAATCGATCAATGACCACCCAAATGGCATCACTACCCCCATTGAGTCCTCGGAAGACCCACAACAAAATCCATCGTGATATGTTCCCACTTCCATTCAGCTATAGGCAAGGGTTGCAACAAACCCGCTGGCCTCTGATGCTCAGCCTTCACTTGTGGACAAGTAAGGCACTTTGATACGAACACAACTACATTCATTTTCATACCTCTCCACCAAAACTGGCGACTAAGATCATGATATATCTTTTTGCCTCCCGGATGCACTGCAAGGTGCGAATGATGAAACTCTCGGAGTATTTCCTCTCAGCAAGACTCCGGAACAAACAAACGGTCATGGTATCTCACACTCAAGTCGGGATACACAGTAAAACCACTTTCTACTTTCCCATTGAAAATCTTCTCTCGGAATGATTCCACCTCAAGGTCACCTTCTGCACTTCCAACACTCGGTTCACAAGTATATGTTGTGCAACTACTGAAAACAAAGCTGCAGACTCAACAGACTCACCCAGATGAAAGTCAAACTCATTAAAAGTACCCTACATTTCCCATTCTCGGATGGCGATAGAAGCTACACTGCTAACTGGCTTTCTACTCAAAGCATCGGCCACAACATTAGCCTTCCTGGGACGATAATGCAACTCAAAATCATAATCCTCTATGAATTCCATCCACCTCCTCTATCTCAAATTCAAGCCTTTCTATGTAAACAGATATTTCAGACTCTTGTGATCCGAGAACACTTCAAATTTCTCACCATACAGATAGTGCCTCCAGATCTTCAAGTCAAATATCACTGCTGTGATAATTTCTCTCATGTGTTTTCAACTGCCGTGAGCCATAGCCTACTACTTTACCCTCTTGCATCAATATATAACCTAGACCTTCTCGTGAAGCATCACAACAAACTGAATAACCCAAACCCCTCTCCGGTATAATCAATACTGGAGCAGTGGTGAGTCTAATCTTAAGCTCTTGGAATGACTTCTTACAAGTCTCACTCCACACGATTTTGATTTCTTTCCTCGTCAACTTAGTCAAAGGTGAAGCTAGTCTAGAGAAATCTGTCACAAACCGACGATAATACCCAGCCAACCCCAAGAAACTATGAATCTTGAAATCATTCTTAGGTTGTGCCTAATCTTACACTGCCTCTATCTTGGATGAATCTACAGTCACCCCTTTCCTTGATACTACATGCCCTAGGAATTTAACCCGCGAAGTTGACTGGGTCAAAATCGGGATCGCTACATTTTCCTAAAAGATTAGGTGGGGACTCTGAAATCTGGTGATGTAGTCTATTTGTGGCAATATTTTGCAATAAAATGGATTTTCTATAAAAGTTGTCAGATTTAAACTCTCATATGTTGTTTCACATCGCACTAGTGAGACTAGATTAGGAGATCGGGAGTCTAAACTGTTCAGCGCACTTGGTATACCCAAAAGCATCCCATAGAAGGGGTGAACGCTTTCCTAGTAGGATATAAGTCAAATAAATGGCACATGTCAAGGATAATGGGGGCCATCATACCACTTCTAAAATGAAAGAAATTGAAGACAGTATTCCAGTAGCATAAAGCAGCAGGGATTAGGTAAGAATCCTGAGGAATGGAATACCTAGAGAGTAAAAGGAAGTACATAATTTTAACTCTTGTTATGGTCTATTCATTCGTGGGCCGCTGTGACTTCATCATACCAAGTTGTCCGGTCTTTCTTAACAACGAGCCACATTCAAAGGGGTTTGGCCCCTGTCCAAGAACTCCAAGAAAGATGATGCTGGTAGAGCATCATATGATCTTCAAGGTGAGGGTAAAGATTTAACATTGCTGCTAGTGGAGCCTCTTTAAAAGCTGGGCCCAAACCCCCATTGTCACCGTAAGGGATGGAAATATGAGTATCTATGGGGGCTGTCAGGAAAATTTGCCTCAAAGGTTAAGTCAAAAATCATATTTTCTAATAAGAGAGAGTGAGGAAGTATTTCTGTAAGGGGAACAATATCAATAACTTTAGAACCAGACGCCATTGGAAGCAAAAAATTACGATTTGCAAGAAGAAGTGAAAAATGGAAAGTTGAGTTCTAAGAGTCGAAAGGTAAGAGTGTTGTTTAGACAAACAAAGGTTTATTTATATACTTTTATCTCCAATGGGTCAGGTCAATGCAAGTTGATCTTATGGCAAAACACTATGGATCTTGAAAAGTAGCTAAGGTTCAAAAATGGGTCTTTTCACATATTGAGGATACCAAGAATTAAAAGTAAATTTTATTTAATTCTTAGGGTTATCAAAATTATGAAAGTGTCTCGAAAAGTTGTAATTTGCTTCGAGTTTGCTTCAAAATTTTGATTGAAAAAGATGATTGACATTTGTAACGTACACTTGAAGTATTAAATTGGGAAGGAGATGACCAAAAGTTGAGCAGGAAACTTATGAGAATAAGTATGTATTTGAATACAGGTTGATTATACCTTCGAATCATAGTTTAGTATAGAAAGATCAATATACAAAATACAAGTGACAAATCAGAATCTCCATTTTTATTTTATTATCAAAGTTTACATGGGAATTGGCTCAATCTCATGAAAGTAAAGAAAGGAAAATGCTACAAGGTATCTATGAGATCCCTTTCTTTATCTAATCTTTTTGCAGCTTCATCCTTCTTAAATTGGCAATGTTGAAAGGATTAAAACTATAGCGACCCTGGGTTTGACCCGTCTCTTACGGTGTTCCGGACTCGGGTTTGTATTTGTTTGGATGGTGGTTCATGCCTTGCTTCCCTTGTCTTCCCCTTAATGTTGGCTATTGGGTTGTAGTTGTGTGTTTGGAACAGGTTGCTTGCTTATTTTTCCAAGCCTTTGTTGCCCAGGATTTGGCTCCATCACTCGAGCGGGCATTCTGACGCTCAAGCGGGCTTCACAAATTTTGCTCAATGCTCGAGCAGGCATTCAGGCGCTCGAGCGGACGGATTGTATCTGTAAAAATACTAGGAGAGCGTATTTTACGCTCGAGCGCAGGGTTTCACGCTCGAGCGAGGGTTTCCACGCTGGAGCGGACCGTGTGATAACAGCACACGGAAGTTACATTTTAGATCACTTTTTGCAATCCTCTCTCTCTCTAAAAGTCTCAAATCTTCAGATCTAAGCCTCTCTCTCTAGAAATCATCTTCTCTCTTTGATTTCTCTAAATCCATTGGGATTTTGGCCATAGTTCCTTCGTCAAAGTTGTGTAACTTCTCGAGGGCTTCTTTGTGTGCGGCTGGAGATTGAGTTTCATCGTCATTAATTTTGGGGGTTTCAACTATTTTCTTCTTCTACACTTGAGGTAGGGATTTTCTACACTCCAGTATGGTTTTTAGCTTAGTTATTTGCTATTGTGTATAGATGATGAGATTTGGTTGTGGTTTGGACAAATTTAAGATTTGGGTGTAAAATGAAAAGAGGGATTTTTTTATGTATATGAGATAAATGATGTTTGAGGTTGAATATAAACTCTTGGTGTACCAAAATGGTTGATTTTGGGTATTTGGGATAATATTGGAAAAATGGAGATTTTTGCCCTAATTTGACAAAATGATTATTTTGTATAAATAATTGAAATTAACATTGAATATGTTCAATTAGATAATTATTGATATAGATGGTGATATTGGATATGTATTATCTCACCTATGTAAGTTTTGAATAAATTATTAAACCCGATATTGAATATATCTTGGAAATAATTGTATTGGGCTATCGGTGGAGGGTACCTCCGGCAAACCGTTCAGGAATGGCAGATGACAAACACGGTGTCCTAGGCACACCAATGCACATGCAATGCAAAGAGACACATAAATGAGATCAAAATAAGATATCACAAGTTCGAGTCAAGCTCTCTAAAAATCCCCAACGGAGTCACCAGAAACTGTAGACGCGCCCGAACGCCCCGGGAGGGTGAGTCCCGTTCTGTTCATCTGCGGGCTTACTACAGCTCGGACTCTCGAATTGTCACGGTTCCTAATCTGAACCAAAGAGTCTAAATCTGGCAAATCGTTTTGAGAAAAAACAAATTTTTGAAAGAAGTGCCAAACATGGACTGCTTTGCCAGATACAGAGTCGCCACCTAAATATTTTTTAGTGGGGAAATTTAGGAAACCCTGACTCAGTGCCGAAGGCCACATGTCCGTCATCACCGGAGTTGTCTCGGCTCGGGAACTAGGGTACGATTGGGGAAGGTCAGCTATGAGCACCCCCTCTCGCCCGATCCGAAGATCGGCCTCTACTAACCGTGATATCCGTTTTTGAAAACGTTATGTGTTCTTATTCCATTTATTAGTCTAGAATCACTATGTTATGCACACAGCAAACAAGTATAGACTAGATTGCCTAATTTGGAAAGAAACATTGCATATCCGTTTGTTTTGGAAAACGTTTTGGAATTTGCTACTCCAAGTAGACTAAAATACGGATTTCAGCGAGTTTTTCCAACTCAAACAATCCAACCTTCACCCACAGGCAATCAATCGATAATATCACGTAAGCACTTAGCCGCATGGCAAACATACTGTCATGACAACACTCACACGCATGCGGTATGCTAAAGCGAAAATACTTACATCGTACTCCGTGCCAAAACAATAAACTAGTTAGCAAACATGCATGTCCTAATTCATGTTAAAATGACTAATGTAACGCAAGCAAAATGTGTTTAGGATAGGCTCGGCTAATCTACGATGACATGTGAAATGTTACAACTAACACGTATTCAATTTTGAAATTGAAATACAGATGCAGTTAGAATGATGCGCCGAGCCCGGTGCATGTAAGACAAATGAATGAATGCACGCATATATTGCATGAGGTATGCTAATTTAAACGTGCCCTAATACTAACCGTCAAAGCAGGTAAATAAAAGGGAAGAAAGAAGTGGGGATTGGAAGACATACACACCACTCACACACACTTATTACAGATTTGCCCTCGCCCGGAGGGACCAAATAAATAATACAAATTAATTAACTACCCAAGCTAATTAAATATTACAAATTGCCTAATCAGCTAACAAACTAACTAAACTAGGAAAAGCAGTAAATCGCCTCGGGAGGAGAGCCAGATGCAGCGCATGCTCGGGTCCTGCTCGAAAGTGCACGGTCATGCATAGTCTGCCTCTATTTTCCTTGCTCTGCCTATCTGAAGACTGCCAAAGCCTCAAGGATGCTTCTCTGGATACTGGCAATCACCACCGGCTGAGTAGAATTACCACCGGCAGTGAATTGTGGTCACCGGCACAAAATGAATCCATCGGCTGGTGATTTACTGCCGGTCGGCAATTTATACTGCCGGTCGGCAAAGAATGCCTGCAGAACCTGCAACTCACAGCAGCAGAGGACAGAACTTGCATGGCAATACAATTCAAGGCATATATGCACCAATCATGTCTCTTATCGTGTTAATGACTCAAAGGGACATGCTCCTTGGTTCTCGGACCATCAATCGCGCATTTCCATGCGTGATGGCCCAAAAGACCAAGTGTGCAACTTTCATGTCAAATGAAATGCAAACCAAACAAACAAACCAAGGGCCAATTCCTATCACCAAGTCAAGGACCAAAGCATGCATACAGGATGCAATGCAACCTAGGCATGCAAGCTAAGGATGCAACATGGCATGGCAAGACACTTATGCAAGCATACAAGCAAACATGAGGCGATGCAAACTGATGAAAAGGTGGACTTAGACATGATTTAGGCAACTCTAAATTGGCCTAAAACAGTGGCCAAAAACCAAGGAATTGGGATCAAACGTACATACACACATGCAAGTAAGTTGGACCAACACTTAGGCATTAAATAAGCAACTTTAAGGCACACTTGAAAAGGGATATCATGGACAATTAGCATGCAACATAAGCTCTGAAAATCATGTTAAAACATGGTGCCAAACCAAGCAACAAGGCAAGCTAAACATGTAACAATGGTCCAAGCATTCAAGGCTCACCAAAGAGGCAATGGGCTACACTTAGTACAACCACACATGGCAGGACTTAGGCAACCAAAGACAAAGTTTTAACACATGAAACTAAGCCCAAAAGACCAACTAGATAGCATCTAGATGGTTTGAATTTAAAGGCATGCATAAATGCTAAAACATGGATCATGCAAGGCAAGCTTCCAAAGCTTCAAAGAGGCACCCAAGGCAAACATTTGAGCATGTCAAAGGGACTAAAATAACATGTAGGGTGGTTCCAAATCACCGAAACGATGCAAGCAACACATACTACACATTCACAAACTTGAAGCATACAAGCTCGAATACAAAGGAGCTATACTACGCATGCCAAGATCAACCCAAATAACTGTGGACAGACCTAAAACATGGCAAAATGAGCACAAAACCTTCACAAGGCTAAACCTAAAACATGCTAGAGCAAAGGCTAACAACCTAAGGCATATTAAGGCAATAACATGGCATTACAAGGTAGGTATGCTAAGCATGCATGGTGTACCAAAACCAACACACAACAAGGTTATATCATGGCATAATAAGCATGGAAAACAGCCAAGACAAGATCAATACACACTCTAACATGATGCTCCCTCAAGAGGCCGAAAAGGGTCCCTTTCAAGGACAACAAGGAGAGGGGGTGGCCCTCCCCTTTTGGAGACTTCAAGGCACCATCTCCCCCACTGAAATCTCTCAAGATTTCAGTGGTGAAGAGGCCCAAACACCAAAGTCTCAAAACTCACTCAAAATAGCACAAAATGGGGCCTTTCAAGGCCTAAGAGGGGTCAAACACCTCCAACCACAAACACTCTAAACAAACTATTTAGAGGGCCTAAAAACAGAACTTTTTTGTATTATACACCAAGCTCTAAAACAATTTTAAGACAGGTAGAAAAGCAATGCAAAAATGGGGAATAAAAGGGAAGTTT